CAAAAAAACATTTCAGCTTTTCAAAATCTAACCCTAAGATTACATACAATACTACAACATATGTTTGCCAAACCCTTAAACCAAAGAATATCATGATTCACTACTTCCACTCATCTATGCTGAAAACAAATCAACTTTATCATTTCTTAATTTATATCACTTATAAATGTTTATAATTACATGTTTTTAATTTTTCACTATCAAAATATTTTGTACAGAATTTATAAATTATTTTTAAGATTCAATCGTCCAGACAACTAACATTTCAGTCGTCCAGACGACTGAAAAGTAACTCAGCCCGACCCACACAACTTACTGGGGTTATATTCGTAAAAATGTCTTCTGTTTTTTTGTTTGGTCACAGAGCACTATACTGTAATTTCATAGCCCTTTTAGGTTAGATTTGCATTTGATTCAAGTTGGGGTCTAGTATTGGGGTTAAAACCAAGTTGTGGGTTAGTTTTGGCAAAAACTCATTCAATTATGTATAGTCAGTTGGAGAATTATTTTGCGTACATAATAGTTGGGGGGAACTAATCCGTCAATTATAAATACTTAGAGAATTAAATGATCATTTTCCCATCCATCCATCCATGGGTTGATTGGTAGAGCATTATCATAAGCATTATGATCTCTATTACCCAATCAACATTTGTCAAAGAAGCATTTGGAAAAACATTTACCAAATGCTAATGCTCTCCAAATGCTATTTGCTCAATGCTCTCCAATAGAGCTTTTGGTAGAGCAAATATTGGAGAGCATTTGCATTTACCATATATAAAAATTTTAAAAATAATTATACATAACTAATTTATTGTAGTTTAATAATACAAAAAATATTTTTATAACTAAAAATAAATTTATATTTTAAAGATTAAAATAAAATTATAATTAAATATTTTTAAATGATTTAAAAGAACAATATTTCACATTTAAAATAAAATATAATTTATATAATTACACATATCATTCATTATTTTTAATAACAAGCATAACATAATATATATTTATATATTATAAATATAAACATATATATATATATTAATTATACATTAATAAATAAATTATATGACATATATTAATTTTTAGGATAATTATATATATGAATCATTTACTGCTCTATCAATAAATAATAATAATTTATATATAAATTATATATAATTTATTTATTTGTTTAATAAAATTAAATATTTTCATCTCCAAAAATAATTTAATATTTTTTAAAAAATTACATTTTTAGATAATTATATCTTACATATAAGCTATAATATAATTTATATAATGAATAAGATTCATTATTTTTAATAACAAATATATAATTAATATATATTATAAATATATAAATATATTTTAATATAAATATTTATTTATATTAACTATTATAATAATTTTTAAAATTGTATACGGCTACTGCTTTATCAATCACTTTATTAAAAATTTTACTGAAAGCATACAGCTTCTGCACCATACAACTTCTACAGCATACTGCTAATGCTTTTATCATCTGCCGTACATTATGTACACCGTTTGGTCGGTTTTATCCACCCAACACACTTTGTCCAAAAAGTTTTTGTAAACAGACCAATGGTTTGACTAGATTACATTTTTGTAACTCTTTGGTAGGTTTATAAGTTTAACAAATTCAGTCTTTTCCTAAAAGACCTTTTTGGGTATTACATAAATTTTGGATCAACCAATATTCGGATCAAATTGGGTTGATCACTAGAACAATGAAAATAGTACCCTTTTTTTTATCAAAGAGAGACGAACATGGAAGTGCTGGAGCAGAACCGGTTATATGACCCCAATAAAAGACTTTGCCATCAAATTTTTCCATGGACATATTTTCGTCTCTCTTTGATAAATTGATAAAAAAGAGGGAAAATGGGCATTTTAATCCCAAGTATTTGAAATCGGCACTTTTAATATCCGACTATTGGTTGCGCATAATTATTCCCCAACTGATAGTTGACTGCGTGAAATTATTATCGACATAGTCAACCATTAACTGATTAACGGAAAGATGACGGTTTCTGTCAACTTTTTTACGGTTAACTATGTCGGACATAATTTTGCGCAGTTAACAATTAGTTGGAGAATAATTCTGCGCATATGATACTTAAGTATTTAATTTTCCGATTAAAAATACTTGAGGAATTAAAAACAAAAATCTATTTTTGTAAAATAAAATCATAATTCAAAAAAAAACAAGAATCTACTTTCAAATTATGATATCTTTTAATTTACCGATTACAAATATTTGAAGAGTTAAAAACAAAATTTTAAAAAAAAATCATAATTTAAAAAAATTCAACTTAGATATAAATTATAATCAATGTATGAGATTTTAAGTGACTACATGAAGTATATCAATATTACAATGCAACTATAGTTTATATATTCTTATATACAAGTAAATGTAAAACTTTAAAAATCTCATTCTAAAAAATTCATATAATGATTATATCTAACTTGAAATTTTTTAAATTATGATTTTATTTTACAAAAATAAATTCTTTTTTTTAACTCTTCAAATATTTTTAATCATCAAATTAAAAAATATTATAATTTAAAATCTTCCAGGTTAGATATAACCAATATATGAGATTTTAACTGATTTTACATACATGAAATATATCAATAATACAACAACTATAATTATTTATATTCTTAAAGTAATTGTAAAAGTTCAAAAATCTCCTTCTAAAAGTAAAAATCTCATATATTGGTTATATCTAATTTGATATATTTTTTGAATTGTGATTTGATTTTACAAAAATAAATTCTTGTTTTTAATTCCTCAAGTATTTTCAATTGGCAAATTAAATACTCAAGTATTACATGCGCAAAATTATTCCCCAAGTAATAGTTGACTGCACAAAATTATGATCGGCATAGTCAACCATTAAAGAGTTGACGAAAACCGTCATCTTCTCATTAACCAGCTAACGGTTTACTATGTCGATTATAATTTTGCACAGTCAACTATTAGTTGAGGAATAATTTTGCGCGACCAGTACTTGGGTATTAATACTGCCGACTACAAATAGTTTGGGATTAAAATGCCCATTTTCCCTAAAAAAATACTATTTTTTGTGTCCCAACTTATGAACGGGTCGGGTCTTCCAGCAAGCTTCTTGGGTAAGCTTCTTGAAATTATAAAATGAAATCCGGCGCGCGAAAATTCCGAAATTATAGAGGGAAAAGAAGAACACTGCGAAAATCTAAAAGCTAGGCTCCGATTGGCGTGCAGGCTGTTGTGGCTTTATAATATCTTACAGTCTTCAAAGTCAATTAAGAGCCAATCGGACTGTTGCTTTCAATTTTATTTCTAAGGTTTCTAAAGCTTCTAACTGTCGACTGTTACCAATTTACTCTTAAAATATTTGTTTTTTTTAAGTCATGCAAACTAGACTTTAGACGTATTTGAAAGCTTTTTCTTTTGTTGCAATTTTCAAGTTTTTTTTTCTTTGTAATAAAAAAGTCATTCGGTTATAATAAAGTATTCAAAATAACTAAACCAAATCTAAGAAAAAATAAAGAAATTCTAAATTTTATTTTTGATAAAAAAAAAAATTATTAACTCATTAAAATTATTTTTTAATAATTTATTTAACTGATTCATAAATGTAATTTACATATTCGCTTAAAAATACGTTAATGTATTTAAAATGAACTTCAGTTTTAGTTTCGACTATTTTAATAATTAAACAAATCATATTTAATTTATCCTTTTATTAAAAATGAATATTTTATCAAAAAATTTGTTTAATATATAGATTATAAAAATGTATATTTTATCAAAAAAAATTATTTAACTTTAGTTTTTTAAATAAATTGTAATCTTATTTTAAATTTTATAAAAACTAAATTCGTTGGTTAAAATTTGATTTTTTTACATTGAAGAAATAAAATATATTGTTGATAAATTTGATTAAGTTTGTGTCTTTAACTATCCAATATATTTACGGACTTGTATAAATAAGAAATAGATATAAACAAATAGGTAATACATTTCGAAAAATGAATCATAAATATATTTTGTAACAGTCACAGTCTCTAAGAGCACGTGTATTGAAGGTTTATGCGAGAGGTTCACACACGGATCAAGAAAAAAAAATGATGATTTCAGTGAACCCGTATCTTGCAGGTTCACTGGGATGAACCCGGATCAACATTGTTTCGCGGGTCTCATGCCACGTGGCGGCCCGCGATTGGTCCAATTTTTTTTAAAAAAGTCAAACAAAAAAATAATAGAAAAAAAAAGAAAAAAAAATTGTGAACTCCTCCCCCGGTTTACTAATGTACATGCTCTAAAGCTTTGGATATCAATCAAACATTTATTTTTTTTTCTTAAGTAACAACTACAGTCTTTAAAGTCAAAATCTCTACAGCCATAATTTTAAAGTCAAAGTCTAAATGAAAGTCATTACCAATCGGACCCATAAATGACCAATTGGTACAGAACCCATTAAAGGTGGTTTAGATGTGACAGCTTGTAGCCAAATATGTCCTGAATTGATTTTGTAGGAAGTTATCTTTTTGTATTATCTTGGCAATGTCCACTATGTTAAAGCTGTTATGCGTGTATGGCCTTATGGGAGCTTTAGAGTAGGTGGTTACCTACTTTGTCCCCGTTTTATTTATAAAGTGTGTGCAAATTTTGACTAACCACTAAGTGGATTATACACATCTGGAATCTGGACCAGATAATATTCGGTTTAGACTTTGAGTATCTAAGTAAACCGAAACAAAATCTAAATAGACCGAAACAGATACTTAAAGACTAGACCTTTCGGTTGCTCTCTTCTTGTCTTAAAACTTTTCACTTCAGCAACAAAACTACTTCCGTCGCCGCCATTATTCTCGTCGGCTGATAACAACAGTTTATCTCAGACGAGAAATCAACGCCTGCGGAGAGAGAATTAATTAATCTTTATTTCTCTCATCTAACAAAATGGCATCTTCTCTATCACTTCAATCCTCCTTCATACCTTCCTTTGCTGATTTCCCCGACCGTGTAAGTAAGCCCTTTTATTTTATTATATTATGAGCTTTTGGTCTTAGTGATGCTTGCTGCTCTCTGACTCTTTGCTGTTTTCCCTGAAGGGTTTGATCAGTAAAAGCTCTCCCAACAGTGTTTCCATTTTCAAGGTTCCATCTTTGAACAAGAAGCAGATCTTGAATCGGAACCTGTTCAAGCTAAGCTGCGTGATGGAGAAAAGTATCGATGGAAGTAGCCATTCTGCAGTTAACACCACCCAAGATTGCTTAAATGGTTCATAAAAGCTTCACTCTTTTTTCTTTTTTTGAATTGAACAAATCCTATAAGTTTGTAGCTTTTGTGTTGATGGGTGCTTCTATTTTTTGCAGCTGTTAATGTCAAAGAAGAGGCTAGCATCTCTACGTTACTGATGAACTTGGATAATAAATTTGATCCCTTTGATGCAATGAGCACTCCGCTTTACCAAACAGCTACATTTAAGCAGGTAGGTACTCAAAATAGTTTGTGTAGTCAAGATAACTTTTTGTTGTCTCTTTATGCTTAAGTTCTTAATTGTTTGATTATCTATGCAGCCTTCTGCTATTGAAAATGGACCATATGATTATACAAGAAGTGGAAATCCTACACGGGATGCATTGGAAAGGTAACTGTTTCTTAGCTTCTTCTTTTTTCCTGGGTCATGACATGACTGTCATGTATCTCTATTTTAGTGTTTTCGTAGAACATTTCTCATAGAAGTTTTGGTCTTTTCTTTTTCTTTTAGTCTCCTTGCGAAGCTTGACAAGGCAGATAGATCATTTTGCTTTACTAGTGGAATGGCTGCTCTTGCTGCTGTTACCCACCTTCTCAAAGCTGGTAATTTCCGTTATTGACATCTCTCTTGGATGTTTCTTTCCATTAGGTTGGTGACATAGACTTGGTCTCATTGTAGTGTATTTAACTTTGTTTTATAGGCGACGAGATTGTTGCTGGAGATGATTTATATGGTGGCTCTGACAGATTACTATCCCAAGTAGTTCCAAGATCCGGCGTTGTGGTTAAGTTAGTATTACATACCTATGATTGATTATTCAGAATTTTATTACTACTATAAATTAATGATTCTGCTTGTTGATATTGTAGACGAGTAAACACAACTAGTTTAGAAGAGGTTGCTGCTGCTATAGGTCCCCGGACAAAACTTGTGTGGGTTGAATCTCCAACTAACCCCAGACAACAAATCTCTGACATACGAGTAAACTCTCTGCGAATCCTAAAAGCACATGGCGCAAAAATATCTGTAATGTAGTTAGTAATTGATTATATGGCTTTCCTTTGGTTATAGAAAATAGCTGAGATGGCTCATGCTCAAGGTGCACTTATGTTAGTGGACAACAGTATTATGTCACCGGTGCTCTCTCGGCCATTAGAACTTGGAGCTGGTGTGTTAATCAAAACCTATACTTGCTTACTATTGGTTGATAAATTTCGTTATAATTCACTCGTATTTGAACTTGTCTGGCTATCTAGATATCGTGATGCACTCGGCTACTAAGTTTATTGCCGGACACAGTGATTTGATGGCGGGTGTGCTTTCTGTAAAAGGAGAAAAGTGTGTTTCTTCTACTTCTTTTTTCTGCTTTCAAGTGTTTTAGATATTACTCTATTACATTCTAATACTGTTTGTTAAAAAAATTTCAAGATTGGCAAAGGAGTTGTATTTCCTCCAAAACTCAGAAGGTTCCGGATTAGCTCCTTTCGACTGTTGGCTTTGCCTACGAGGAATCAAGACAATGGCTTTACGTATAGAAAAGCAACAGGTCTTCACTTTTACCCCTCTGATTAAGGAGTTGTATTTTCTCTCTTTTTTTGTTTGGTTCACTACTTACATTAGATGGGAAAAATATACAGGAAAACGCACGGAAGATCGCAATGTACTTGTCTACTCATCCAAGAGTGAAGAAAGTGTACTATGCTGGTCTACCAGATCATCCTGGTCACCATCTCCACTTCTCTCAGGTACTAAAAACCATTATATAACTAATGTACAAAAAAATAATTAAGTTCTCAACACAAGATGACATCTTTTCAAAACTGCAGGCAAAGGGTGCAGGATCAGTTTTTAGCTTCATAACAGGATCCGTAGCGCTATCTAAGCATCTTGTAGAAACCACCAAGTACTTCAGCATTGCTGTCAGTTTTGGTGAGAGCCAGATACATTTTTTTTCTTCTATTGTTTCTTCTGAAGAAGCTGTTAGTAATATTTGGGATAAGTTTTGGATTCTGATTTCACTCACTTCCTTGTATTTGTTAGGGAGTGTCAAGTCACTTATAAGCATGCCATGCTTCATGTCACATGCAAGCATACCTGCAGAAGTACGCGAGGCCAGAGGCTTGACGGAAGATCTTGTCCGTATATCTGCAGGCATTGAGGACGCTGATGATTTGATCTCTGATCTTGATATCGCCTTCAAAACCAGTCCCGTCTAGCTCCACTCTGAGAACAACAAAAAGATCTCTTTTTCTAGTCTCGTTTTTGTGTGTGTTCCTTAGGTTCTTGAAGGAAGAATCTGTGCAAGTAACCAGAAAACATAGTTTGGTGTTTGAGAATACATCAAACAAATAAACTTGTTATTGCTAAACCTGTATTCTGAGTTTGTAATAGACTTCAAATCCAACATAAGCATTAAAAATTGTCTTGCAAGTACAGATCTTTCTTCAAATAAGCACCTCGTTATGTGAAGAAAAAACAAGGACCCAGTGAGCAACTTGTGCTTAAATTCTGTTTCATGTTAGGTAAGAACAAGTACATAGAACAAACCATGACACATCTGCACCAGATCTGTACCTATTTTCTCACTAAGACAGGTACTTGTCTATACATGACAATGTAACATTGTGAACTGAATTGAAAACTACAGTTTACAAAAGACGTGGCAGATACACAGATCCTTCATCTACCATTTTCAGATGAGTTTCTTTAAAGCAACACTGAAAAGAGTGAAACAAAATTGGGAAATGGGTTATTCACTATGTAAAGATTTATTGATGTACATATAAACATTATCCCCTTACATCATCATTTATTCATTATCATCCATCTATATTTCCTATCTGCATTCCCTGGTGAAACCATGTATTGTACCAGCAGAAGCATTCCTTAAAAACTCTAACGTCAGAACTGAAATAAGAAGCATCAAGTCCATAGAGTCAGACACCTGTTGTGATACCCTCGAATCTAGGAAGTGATCTATCTGCTGAGAGCCCTTCTTCCATTGACTTCCTCTTGTGGTTACTCAATGGTTGCTCCTCTGGTTGTACTACTTCCAGATGTACTTGTTTCGGTTCTAATTCAGAATGAAGAGTCAAGATTTTGCTTCCAACTTCGGCTGAATCTTCAATCTCTGGTTCAACTGATGCGGCTGCTGCTACAATTAAAGGCTTTTCAATCTCTTCCAGCTTCTGGTTGTTCAACTTTGTTTTCATCATATGAGGTTTCAACTTGTTGAGATCAGCCAATCTTACAGGTTTCAAGAAAAACTCCTCAGCTCCTTCTTCTAAACAACTGTTAATGATTAAGTAACATAAGATTCTTTTCATTACTGTCTGAAAGGGTCACCAAGCTCATCAGAATTTAAAGTTCTTTACCTGCTGATTCTTGCAGGAACGTTCTCTGAGGACATTATTACTACTGGTATGTTCTTAAAAGCAGATGATTCCTGCAAAAATTGAAAAAACAGGTTCACATTCAAAAAGATGTTATCAATGAACTGTACACCTCAAAGAGTATTAAAGAGATTCCGATATTCCAAACAAGTACCTTAACTTTCTTGAGCAAATCATAACCAGTCATGCCTGGCATACAATAATCTGTGATTATCAGATTCACTTCAACCTCCTGTCAAAAGCAAGCAGAATGAACAAAGTTCTATCAAGACAAAGAATTGTAAACACTGAAGTGATTTTAAGAAGTAAAAAAGGATCAAACTTTTCGGACCTGAGGAGATGTAGAAAGACCATTTGGGTCGTTACTCTCAACACCTTGTCCTAAACCAAGAAACTCTAATGCCTTATAGCCTGAATCAACAGTTGTTACTACAAACACCACCAAAAAAAAACATTAAAAGGTTAGATCTTTCTTTGATTCTTACAAACTACAAAAAGACTTATTCATGTCCATTGAAACACGTTTTCACCTTGACACGAAGACTTTTGAAGCAGTCTCTCTATAAGTTTCCTATCGAATGAACTATCATCAACAGCTAAAACATGAAACTGCGATTCCGCTGCTGCCATACCCATTGCAGAAAACTTGAAGATCTGAGCTTGAAACGACGAACCCAGATGTAAAGTCTCCGACTTTTTATTTCTTTCGCCCGGTTTGTTGCTATTTTTTAAATCTCAATTAGCTTTGAATTGTGGAGAAAGCAAGTTCTGTTAGAAAAATGTTTTTGTTTTTTAAGAAGACAACGCAGAGGGAAGAAAGATACAAAGTTTACTTATAAGAAAAAAAAAAATAATCAAAACAAATCTTCTGGGGATTTTTTAAGGATTAGATAAAGAGAGAGGAGAAGGTTTGCTTTATATAGTCCTACTATAACAACCCTTTGCTTTTACATCAAATTTAAAAGAGGTACAGACAAAATATACGGTAATGAAAACCATAAATTAAACAATTTTTTTTTAAAATGGATTTTAATGGTTATCTGTTTTCATAAAAATGTTTAATAGTACTTATTTGGTAGATTTTATAAGAGGGACAAAATTTGGTTTCATAAATTTTATAAAATATTTTCTGAAACTATTACATATCACAATAGATAAGTCAATTCAGTTTTTTTTATTGGTGTTTGCATGTTGAAAAAAAAAAAATACTACTTTTTAACTAAATGATTCACCATTTTCATTTTTAATTTTTATTATGTGTATAGCTTGATGTTGTTTTATTCATGAAAAAAAATCAAAATCACGTCTCAGTGTGTCTAATTCTGACCTTTTTGAGTTTTTGGAGGTTATCTTATCGTGCATGCAAATTTCTTTTACCAAAAAAAAAGGAAATTCATGCAAATTTCAAGGATATTCTGCTCATATTTCCTCCTAGTTTTCCTCAATGTATGTAACTTTCCTGACCTTCAAGTCTTCATAATATAAAATTCACCAGAAGAAATAAATACAGAAAAGGGACCCGCCAAAATCTTCAGAGATATAGGTGACGTCGGCAAAGATGCCCCTTTTTATTTACCTCATTAAACTATTACTTCTATTTCAAAGTTATTATAAGAAGAAAAAAAAATATATATACTAATTATGAGCTATATATAAGATGTTTTATTAATCAAAACGTGAATAATGGTGGCGTTTACCGCATATTAGTAGGTGGGGCTTTGTGATGGTGTTGGTGGCAGTGACTAGACAAATATTTTTGTGAGGATTCTCTTCCAAAGATTTGTTAACCATGCTCATCACACCATGCCCCATTATCATCATCATGATTGAAGTTATCAACAGACTATATCCAGGGGCGGATGTAGAAACATTTTTAGCTGGGGTCACAATGTTAAAAATAACAATATGCATTATGAATGAAGAGTACTTTAGGATATAGAAACACTTTTAGCTGGGGTCACAATGTTAAATATAACAAAAGAAATTCTGAATTGGGAGTACTATACCTATTTCTTCACTAGACTATGAACAATTCAATCAAATTAACTCGTATTACTTAAGAAATTTTTAAAAAGAGTAGGTGTCACGTGACCCCGTACCCGGCAACGTCCGTCCGCCCCTGACTATATCTACGTATCGAACTCTTGTGGTCACACGTTAAGACCATCTACATTGGAAGGTTTTTATGGTCGGATTCTTAACAGAATATAAAAATTTATCTTTTAACTTTTATCTAAAAATGTTAAAAATTGATTTTTAAATAAAATATTTAAGAATCGCTTCTTAATTTTTTCATTAAAAATTAAGAAATATATTTTTATATTCTATTAAAAAATCCGTTGTAATATCCCTCAAAGAATGTGCTCTAATTAAAGGCCATCTAATGAAACGTAACTTCTCTTTCAATTTCGTAAAAATTAAGAAATATATTTTTATATTCTTTTGGATTCCAATTTTGTCACTCTATTTTGCTTATCCACATTTCGATTTGAATATATAAAAGAGACAAAATATTTCATCTAATTTACAAAAATATTATTTTGACATTTTGCAGATAATTTAAAAACTATTAAAAATTACCTTTCACTAATAACTAACAAAATGTATTCAATACATTAAAATAATGAAATTAAAACTGAAATAATGTTTACATATTTGCTTTAAAGATAAAAATAATACTTTTATGAAATAAAATCAAATTCTTAAATGACACTTTGTGTGAAATAAGAGATTACAAAATCTCACATTTAACCTCTTTATTTTGTTTTTATGGACACTATGGTCTTTGTCCGTGCTACGCAGAGTATCTACGATAGGATTTGCTTTGTTTTGTTTTTACTGTTTAAATAAATATAAGAAAGTTTTATATGTTATTTGACCAAAAAATCATTGAATTGATATTAAAAAAAAACACAATCGTTCACGTTTAAAGTTCGCAAATACCATTTTCTTTATAAAAGATCTTTTTATTTTGTTAATAAATTCATGGCTAGGTGAGTAAAGTTTGTTCTATCAAACAATTTTGGATGGGTTGAAAATTTTTCTTCTACATTTGAGCAGGTTGTTATGTTTTTGATTAGCTATATTATTAAATATTATAAATTTAATTGTTTTGTGTTTGATGTTTTATCTTCTCCATGCATTACACAATTACTTGTGTGTTTAGCCTAACAATTTCACATCATATAGTTATATAGTATTATTTATTTACTTACTACATATATCTTGTTTGAATTAATTGTTCTAGATAGATATTTTTATTCGGTATCTGAAATTTTAAAATACACACGTCAAGATGTTCCATTTAGAAACATACGCTAACATATAGAACTTACACAACATGTTATCTTAAAATAAAGACAATCAAATATTTGAAATAAACACGTACAATAAATGGTAAACAAAGATGACCTAATATTTAATTTAAAGACAAACACATAAATACTAATAAGAAGGATTTTTAATGCCAAAACCCCTCAATTATGTTTCCTTTGGATAAAAACTCCTCAATTATTAATTCAGTGTATAAAACCCCCAAGTCACTTATCTTAACAAGTCGACCCCTCCGTTTACAACTGGCGTTAGAAGCTGTGATTTGTCGTCAACTTTAAAACACAGCAATTCAGTTAAGACCAGAAACGTCACATCATTCGTTTCTCTTCTTTATCTCATTCCAAAATTCCCAAATCAAAAATTTGTTCTTTTAGGTCTTCTCCAATCTTCTTCTTCTTCGTTCATGAAAACTAAAGCAGCGAATTTTGTTCCTGCTTTGCTCTGCTCTGGCTGATGTTGGCCCTCGTCTAAGTCTGTATCTTCTCCACAGATTATGCTTCATCTTGGGGTCCCTCCCGAGCAGTATCTTTTGCTATAGGAAACGAGAGAGGACACGTGCCGGCTTAAGAGGAGGTTGTTGAAGAATTAATAAAGACGGACACGTGTCAATCGAAGAGATGGCAGTTGCAGAAGTTGTTACGCGGGGAAAAAAAATTTTAAAAGGAGGAAGAAGATTCATTTTGTAGTTTTTTATCGAGAAATTTGTGTGAGAGTTTTCCTTGTATCTTCTTTCTGGATTTGAGTGATTCTTCTCGTCTTGCTTTTGAGCTGTTTCTACTTGTACGCTCTTGGCGGGTGAGATTGATTCTTTGTAATTCACATTGGATCGGTTTGTTACAGAGTTGTATTGATTCTTGAGTTTTACTGTATCATCTTCTTACGTTAGTAGCCATAATTTCGTTGTGCCGTCACCTCTACCTACTTCCTTCAAAGACTCTCTTCTCTCCTTGCCATCTTGGAGATTTTACCTTGCCATCTTAATGATTTAAGTATCATCTAGTTTAGCTTTGACCTTGTTTTCAACTTTTTTTTTGCCAAGGTAGGCTCTAATTAGATTCTTCACGTTTTGTAACTTGTTACAAACAAGCTTGATATTTATATGAAATTCACATTTTGGCAAAAGTAAGCAGCTATTTTGGTTCTTATGTTTTAATTCTCTGTTGATTTGAAATACACACAAACTTGAAAATTTCAATATCTTAAAGTAACTAAGTGATTAGAATACACACAAACTTGAACATTTCAACATAAATAAGAAGCTTATAAGAAGCAAAAGAAGAGTAACATGGTTCACTTGCTTTCGGTTTTTATTTCTGTTTGTGTGCAGAGATTCTCCAGCTTGTTTCTAAGGATATAGAGCTTTGGGTCTCTTATCATCCCTTCCTATGAAGTCGTATGATTAAACAAGTCTTCTCTGCGTCTTCCTTGGTGTTCCACTTGGTTCCAGGCTTCCAGCTCGTGGCTCTGTCAGTCTGGTGTGATGTGAAGCAATATATTGAGTATGGTTTGTGGTCTCCCTCAATAAAGCTAGACGGTGGATGATTGCGTTCTTTCATCTCCTCCCTATCCAGATTGATTTTCACTTGGTTCAAAGCTTGTATTGTCCTTTTATGGTCTTCATGACATGAATTTTTCTGCTGCCTTGAATCACAAATGCATCCCACCCATGTATAAGTTCTTGCAATGGTAATGAAGCTTTTAGAGTTAAAAAAAGAGGAACATGGTTCTTATGAGGATCATAACTACTGAAGAGACACTATCTAAAGCCATTGCTGCAGCTCTAAAATGGCGTCGTGTGAGAGATCAAAAGTTTTCATGTTTACATCTGCTGCCCAGTATCCTCTAACATGTAAACGAATATAAATTTTCCTTTTTACAAGTAAAAATGTTAAACCCATTAAACTCATAATGAAACCAATGAAATCAAAAGAAAGCAAATAATAAAATACTTACATGTTCATCTTTAAAGCTCCATACAATAGACAACTCTTTCACTCTTGCTTCACTTTTGCCTCATGCTTCGTTCACCCTCTCTTTTCGATTTTGGTACAAGACACACGAAACACAAAACAACTCTTTATATCTCTGTAGAATTCACCCTTTCACAACTGAAACTCAAAAACTGCAGAAATGGAAAAACTAGGGATCGTCATCTCTTTCTCTCTATACTTTTAGGATTTTTAGAACACATAACCTACGTAATGTTTTAGGTAAATACTGTGTTGTTTTTTATCGCCTCAGAAGTCTCAATGCTGTGTTGTTTTATTAGGAAGTCATGTAGTTTACAAAATAATCAAAACACA